AAGCAACTGTGTCCTACACTGGCAGAAATTGTTTACTTTTTCCTCTAAGAAGGCAGTACATTGGCTGTTCTGAAGAAGTTCAGCCATCTTTTCAGTGTTCAAATAGTCGACCCACGATCTGGAGACCTTAATTGTTATCACTGTATCACTAAACTTTGATTCCAAGGGAAAAACATTGGAGTAAACACTAAAACCTCAATGCAAACAAAAAGCATCTACCATGTTTATGGAATACTTCTGGTCAGGTCTATGGACATAGAGAAAATTTTCTGCAAATTACTGAGGACATCTACTTGTACGTTGGGGTAACATCCTAATGCCTAAACTCTTCAGTCACCTTGCAGCCTTCCTCAATGTAGACCGTACTGTATTGCTCACTCACTTGCATAACATTCCCGGAATGATAAAAGTCACAACGGGCAATTTCTCTTTCTGTCTTATCCACTATCCTCCTCTTCATTGCTCAAAGAGATATGCAGAAGCAACGCAGAGATATCATCTTATCTGCTCACAGCAACACAACAATTGTATGTTTACAACTCCCATTTTCATCAGATGCAACTGTTGTCCTCACAGAGATATTTTATTGCACAGAGTAGGAAACAATATGTGGCTGAAGACTTGCTGGCTCAAGCCATTTGTGTTCCCATTTGTGTTCAGCAGCACTTTGAAGCTGCTAGTGTTTTGTTCTTCACAGCTACCTCAGAGATTTCTTATAGGAGGTTGAAAGGTTTTTGCAACCTAGGGTGTGGTGTAGCACATAGAAGAGATACGTGGTTGAATTCTGGTCCGTTGCTATGTAGTTTCTTATGCTAGAGAAAGGCTGTGGTAACTCAAGTGGCAACTGCCAAGACCTGATGTTGCTCTGATTATAATTATTTTCTCCAGCCATCTAAGAATTGGGAGAGTGCGTTATCATGTTCATATGCTTTTGACCCTTCAAAGAGTGCTCCTGTTGAGCTGAAAGAGAGTAAAATCTTTCTGATTTGAAAGAGCAAGAAAAAGATTGTGGAGGGGCAGGAAAGAGAATGCAAGACAGACTGGTGGGCAGGAAGTGCACTCTGTTCTTCCGGTGACAGTGACCATATCTTCACACCTGCCCCCACACCCTTTCCCTGTCCCATTTTGCTCCATTGCTACCCTTTATCCTTAATCCTCACCTTGCTATGTTGTAAGATTTGCACACCAGAGAAAAGAACTGGACAGCAAAGAGAAGAGAAAAGCCATGAAAGTCAAATGCTATATTGACTACATGTTGCCTCAAACTTTTTTCTCTCTGTTCATGATTCTGTAGTCAGCAGGAAACTGTACAGTTCTGTTGCTCTTCTCTTGAATTAACAGTATGAATCAGGCAGTTTTCTCTTGTAAATATGAAGGAGCCAGTTGAAGGGTTTGGGGTTTCTGGTGCGATGTCAAGTCAACAGGACCAATTCCCCCCAAAATCAAGCAGATAAGTAACAGCTGTTGACTTACTGCTTTATTTTTTACTGCTTACCTGAAAGATGCTTCGCCCTGGCCAGAACACAGATGTGTCTGTGCCTGCAGGGGAGATGTTGCAGCAGGGCTGCCAGCCTTTGTGATGCAACAGTGAGCAGGGCTGTGAGGTTCCATGCCTGATGCCAGCCTTGTCTACACCTTCACCAGTGGCCACCGACACCATCGACTGGTGACAGCCTACATCCCACAGGCCCCAGTCCATGTTTATCCAAGGTTTCTGAAGAGTTGCTGATACCCTCAATCATCTTTGGAAGGCTGTGGCAATTGGTTATGGTGCACATCTGTCTGGAAATAGCATCCAGGCTCCTGAAAGATAAGGGGATTGGGAACAGCTTGATTGCATTCTATGATATTATGCCTGGCTCTGTGGATGAGGAGGGAGCAGTGCATGTTGTATACTTTGACTTTAGCAAGGCCTTCAACACAATTTTCCATAGTATCTCTATAGCCAAATTGGTGAGATTTCTCTTGGGTGGATGACAGTAAGTTGTGTGGCTGGCTAATCAGGCTGCGGGGTTGGGATCTGTGGTATGAAGTTAAACTGGTGGCCAGCTACTAGCAGAGTTTCTCATCTGTTATTGTGTTAAATACTGTTTAATGTCTGTATTAATGACCTGGTTGACAAGATGGAGAGCACCCTCAGCCCAGTTGAGGATGATACCAAATTATGGCAGGTGGCTGTTACGCTCTAGGGCAGAGATCAAGGGCATTCAGGGGGATCTGGAAAAGCTGGAAAAATAGGCTGACAGGAACCTCATGAGAGTCAGCAAGGGCAAATGCAAAGCTCTATGCCTGGTAGAGAATAAACCCATTAAACAGTACGGGCTGGGCACTGCAGGTCTAGAAAACAGGTTTGCAGAAAAGGACCAGGGGATACCTGGTAGAGAAGTTGAACATGATGCTGGACAGCCAAGAAGAGCTGGAAAAATAGGCTGACAGGAACCTCATGAGAGTCAGCAAGGGCAAATGCAAAGCTCTATGCCTGGTAGAGAATAAACCCATTAAACAGTACGGGCTGGGCACTGCAGGTCTAGAAAACAGGTTTGCAGAAAAGGACCAGGGGATACCTGGTAGTCCCTTTGAACATGATGCTGGACAGCCAAGAAGGCCAACCACATCCTGGACTGCATTATCAAAAGTACTGACACATCTTATCGCTCTCTGCAACTACCTCATGAGAGGCAGTACAAAAACATGGAGATTAACAGAATCATAGAATTGATTAGGTTGGAAAAGACCTTTAAGATCATTGAGTCCAACCACCAATGTAGCACTGCCAAGTCCACCACTAAACCATGTCCTTAGCACTACATTTACACATCTTTTAATACTTCTAGGGATGGTGATTGAACCCCTTCCCTGGGTAGCCCATTCCAATGCTTAAGAACCCTTTCTGTGAAGAAATTTTTCCTAATATCCATCCAAAACCTCCCCTGGCACAGCTTGAGGCCATTTCTTCTTGTCCTATCACTCCTTTCTTGGGAGAAGATACTGACACCCTCCCCTCTACACCCTCCTTTCAGATAGCTGTAGAGAGCGAGAAGGTCTCCCCTCAGCCTCCTTTTCTCCAGGCTGAACACCCCAGCTCCCTCAGCTGCTCCTCTTGGGATCTAGGCTTGTTCTCCAGACCCCTCACCAGCTCCGTTGCCTTTCTCTGGACCCACTCCAGCCCCTCAATGTCTTTCTTATAGTGAGGGCCCCAAAACTGAACGCAGTATTTGAGATGCAACCTCACCAGTGCCAAGTACAGGAGGACAATTATTTCCCTAGTCCTTCTCACCACACTGTTCCTGACACAGGCCAGGATGCTGGTGGCCTTCTTGGCCACCTGGGCACACTGCTGGCTCATCTTCAGCCCACAGGCGACCAACCCCCCCAGCTCCTTTTCTGCCAGGCAGCTCCAGCCACTCTGCCCCCAGCCTGGAGCGCTGCAGGGGGTTGGTGGGACCCAAGGGCAGGACCCAGCACTTGGCCTTGTTGAATCTCATCCCATTGGCCTCAGCCCATCCATCCATCCAGCCTGTCCAGATCCCTCTGTAGAGCACCCTACCCTCAAGCAGATCGATGGTTCCACTCAACTTGGTGTTGTCTGCTAACTTACCGAGGGTGCACTCCATCCCCTCCTCCAGATCATTGATAAAGATAATAAAGAGAACAGGCCCCAGTACTGAGTCCTGGGGAATATCACTTGTGACTGGCTACCAACTGGATTTAACTCCACCACAACTCTTTGGGCCTGGCCATCCAGCCAGCTTTTCACCCAGGGAAGAGTACACCCGTTCAAGTGATGAGCAGCCAGTTTCTTCAGGAGACTGCTGTGTGAAATGGTGTCAAAGGCTTTACTAAAGTCTAGGTAGGCAACATTAACAGCCTTTCCTTTCATGTAAACATTACTAGGGCCAGTATTCTGTTTTTCTCCAAGTATTGCTTTTTATCTTGTAGAATCTTAACACAGGGATAGAAGAGAAAATGAGAAAAGCTCATTTAATGAGCTTTTGGATTTAAAAGTCTCCAAGCATATCCTCTTAATTTGGAAGAAATAGAACAACCTTATTCTCAACACTTTTATTATTCATACTGAAACTCCTGGGAATGTATCTTCAATTTTTTGAAGATAAATTGACACTGCTTTTTGCACGGGCAGGTTTTGTGGCTGTTCTGCTGCACTACTGATAGAGAAGCACGTTTTGAAATTAAAGACGGCGGAGGAATAGTACCACCTTTGATGTGCCTCTGCTGCTCTCCTGGATTGCTGGTAGTAGGTGTCTAAATGGGATGCTACAGTGTATAATGGAGAGGATCATAATAATCTCATAGCAAATCCCTGCCAAAACTTCCTTCTTTTCACATGCCTTGTCCCCTTCATTTATAAAAAGACTGAGTCAATACTTTTCATTTATAAAAAAGGACCATAGCGTACAGAAAGCACATGCAGAGCAGGTGCTTGCATCTCTTTGGAAGACAACTGTTTGATAACGAGACAGAAGCATTTCAGGAGTGCCAGAAAGCATTCAGCCTTGCAGTATATTCACCTCGGGTATTATCTGAACAGCTGAGCAGATGCCACTGAGGGGCTGAGTGGCCTTTGTATCACGGGAGGGAAATACCTGCATCTGTATATCCACATGTGTAAGCGCATCCTCTCTCGTGTGTTTTTCCACTCTCAGTCCAGCTAGTCCTCTCTTCTTTCTTGCACCTCTAACTGCCTGCAGGCAGATACAGTTTGCAAGCATTTAATATCTATTGAGCGGCACGTATATAAATAAAACATACCTAAGTGTGTTTTATTTATAAACGTACGCATTTATTTATATACACGCACGCGTAAAAATGCCAGACACATTTTTTAAAAAAAAATAAAAATATATATGCTTGGTGTGTGAGGTGATAACAATTGGTCCAATCATGCTCGTCAGCTGTTTGTGGTCTGTGGGCAGTGGGCGACACTCCAGGAAGCCAGCAGGGCTGGGTGACAGTTCCTCAGCAGCACTTCGTCTTGCAGAGTCGGGGAGCGGTGGAGAGCCAGACTGTGCTGCTGCTGTGCTGCTGGAGGGCCCCCAGGTAAGTCCTGCAAAGGTACCCCAGCTGAAGTACTGGAGAAAAACATGCCGAAGCCAGTATTTTAGCCCTCACCTTGGAGGGGAGGAGGGGAACCTTACTGAGCTCAAATGAGAAGGCTGCAGATCTGGACGGGGCTTTACCGTGCCTGGTGGGAGGTAAGCTTAAGGGAAGGCTGGGAGGGAACGTCAGAGGATGGAAGTTAAAAGTGCTTCAGGTTTTTAGTCCGCTGCAGCAGGTGTGAGCGTCAGATTTTGTGAAATATGTGGAAGTGAAGTAGAAGGTCGTTAAAAGTGTATTTTGGGAGTCAGCGTTGCAGGAAGTGCACCTGGGCTCCTTTTACAATGGCATCCACACTTCCACAATCCTTTCTGAAAATTAGTTTATGAAAAGAAAATGTAAATCAGGCAGCCATGAGCAGAGTTATTGGTTTGAACAACCAACCTTTAAGCAAAGAATAAGAAGGAAATCTCCAAAGTGCTTCTACCAGCTTTCTCATAGGCTTTGGTACTTTTTCACGAAGAGTAAATTTTTCAAAATCCCCTCAGCTGCTGAGGATCGCAGCTCCGCCTGAGAGCCAGAGGGTTGCCAGCTCTGCCTTCACTGCGGTGCTTTTGGAAACCTTCCCTGACACTCTCAGACACTTGCACAGCTGAGCAAGAGAGGCTGGGGAGAGGTTTGGTGTCCACTTCTTGAGGGGCTTTGGATGGCTGGCTTCGCCACGGGTTATCTGCTCTGATGCTGAATTTTACATCCCTCTTCTCCTGTTGCTCAGCGAGTAGAGGAGGCCGTAAGGAATGGGAACAAAGGAATCTTGGCTGACAGGTTTTTTTTCCTTTGGTTGATGTTGCAGAGCTTTCCTTCTTGAGCCAGAAAGAACAGCTCAGTGTCTTCCTCAGTGATCAAGGGGAAAGAAAAGCGTGAATGCAGATAAGTCAGACAAGATAGGGCTGTGGCTGGAGGACAGAGAAAAGTAATCAGAAGGTACACTGGCCAAAATGACCTGGGTCACCGAATGCAGACTGGTGTCTGTGTATATTATTGGGGTAACCACACAGCGGCGTTCTCTTTGGACTCTAACTTTTCTGGGTGATTATATACCAGATGCGTTGATTTTCCTTCTGTAGCAGCGGTGGCAGCTTTCTTTCCCCCCCAGTTGTGAACCCACAGCTCCGTGTCCCTCATGGTGAGAGACAGAAAGTAGCAGAATTGGTTTTCCCCTTCCTCTTTGAACTGTACCATTGCAGTTCTCGTATTCGTGATGGCAGCATCAGTTGACGCACACAAACAACTTACAGCAGGGAAAATCCAGGCTGCAGGTTTGAGAGGCACCAGATACTCCACAATAACCATCCACACAGCATCTCACGACATGAGACCTTAAATCTCCCTGCTGTTCTCAGCACCCATGGAAAGGCGTTGTTCCTTTGGGTACACTGCTTGTGTTTGGCCCCTGAAAATATGGTACCTGCTGCTTGTCAGGTGATGATCCCAAACCGACTCACCTTTCTAAGAGAACTGCTGCAAAAATCACATGTTATTCAGAAGCGATGCTGAGGGCAGTAGGAATTGAGATGGCTGTTTTGCCTTGTTTCATTCCATGGATACATGCAATAGAGTTTCACTTCATTTTGGTATGTAAAGGAACTGGCCTTTCAAGTACGTTGTCAGAAGCAACCAGAGACTGAGAAGATTCTTCTCACCATTTTATGAGTGAAAATGCTAAAAATGCCAATAATTGGATAAAGTAGTTGGAGTCCTGTTACTGTTTTGTGTAGATCCATATAATGATGACACCGTCGTGACATCTAGCTGATCTTCACAAAGTATCCAAATACCTGTCAAAGCTAGATCAAATAAAGTGGCCATATTAACAAGCTGCCCAAGATTATTTCTTACCACATCTTCTCCTCACTCAAATGCAGAAACTTCTGCAGTACAATATATATATTTTTTTTTTTTATAAGTTGTTGTGTCTTGCTTTAGTGAATGCACTGTGGTGAATTTCGGTAAAAGTTAAGAGAGGCGTGCAGAAACTTCTGCAGTACAATATATATATATTTTTTAATAAGTTGTTGTGGCTTGCTTTAGTGAATGTGCTGTGGTGAATTTTGGTAAAAGTTAAGAGAGGCAATAGCTTGGGTAGAGAGATTGCACTGAATTTGTGGTGGTTCTTGGTTCATGGTTCTTAGCCCCAGAGCCATCCCAGAGAGGGACCACCTCAATCACTTTATCCTCGTCTTAAAGAGTCTCTGGGAAGGGTAGCTGCTCATCATGATCTTCCTTATGGAACTAGGAGTAGCTGCTTTGAAAAACAGGACTAGAGCTGGGGAGGATCTTGAAGAGAAGAAACGAGGTCCTGATCTTGTATAGGAAGTTGGTGTTGAGGTGGGGGACCCTCCTGCAGCATGGGTTGGTACACTTGCACACTGTAGGTGTTCATATCAGCTGGACCTTCCTAAACTTAATGTACCAGAAAAACATGCAGCTGCTGCTCAGCCTTGGTGTGATGCAGGAGTCACGCACAGAGACCAGACCATCAATGGGTCTGCCTTCCAGGCAGTCACAGCTGATGGGAGGTTTTATATCTCAATTTACATCACAAGGTGACAAATATATTGGTGTGGATAAGTAGGGTGAATTTACATGGGTCTGCCCAGTTTTATGTATCCCAGCCTTGTATGGCAGAAGCTGAGACACCAAGCAGCCCTGGGCTTGGTGGTGGGAACACTCACCTTCCTGCTGCACCCTGGCAGAAGTGAGTGATTGCAGGTGTGTTGTTTCTGCTGCAGGAGGAGGGATGAGGCCTCCAGCTCAAGCTGTGCATTTCTCAGAGCTTGCCTCCTACAGGGAAGGATAAACAGGTGAAGTGGTTTTCGGGAGAAAAGAAGAAGGGATTCCTTCCAGGTATTTGTATTCACAATCAGGGTTATTTTGAGCATATAAGAAGGTGTTAGTGGTATAGTTGTTATTTTTCAAAGGAAATTTTGAGGCCAATAGGTATCAGGTGATGAAGAGATTGATGAAAAGGTGGTTTATTTAGGAGAAAAGTAATTGTCATCCTACAAAGAGCATTGCAATGACTTTATTTGCCATTCTGTGATTCCTTCCATGATGAAACAATTTGCTCAGTGGGTGAGGAGATGGACATGGACATCATCTACCTTGATTTTAGCAAGGCATTTGGCATGGTCATCTTAATAACCTGTTGACAAGCTGGCAAGTTACAAACTTGGCAGATGGACCACAAGATAGTTGGAGAACTGGCTAAAATGCTGAGCTAATATGTTGGCTAATGGCTCAAAGTTGAAGGAGAAGCTAGTCAGAGATGGAGTTATTTGGGGGTCGATACCGGGACTGATATTTATTCAATAGCTTTATAAAAGTTTGGGAGGACGGGATTGAACACATCCTCATCAAGTTTGCAGGTGACAACAAATTGGGAGGAGGGAGATGCTGAAAGGAGAGCCTCCAGAGCGACTGCAACTGGTGGGAAGATTGGGCTGGCAAGAACTGCATGAGGTTTAGCAAAGGTAATGGTTAAATCCTGCACCTGGGAATGAGTAATCCCTTGCAGCAGTGGGGGGGAGTGTGTGGAGTGGGGGAGTGGGGGGAGGTCTGACTGCCTGGGGTGCAGACTGAGTGTGTGTCAGCAGCGTGCCTTTACAGCCATGAAAGGAAATCTTGTCATGGGCCATATCTGCAAGAGTACAGCCAGCAGGCTGAGGGTGTCATCATTCCATTCCATTTAGCACCCATCAGGCCACACCTGGGATGCTGTGTCCATGTTTGATCTTCCTGGTCCAAGACAGAGACTGAAAAAATTGGGAGCGGCAGAATCTCCCTTGCTGGAAATCTTGGAGGCTCGGTTTGATGGGACCGTGGATAACCCAGTCTAAGGCCCTGCTTTCAACAGGAGGTTGGGCCGTGAAATCTCCAGAGGTCCCTGCCGACCTGGATGTCTCTGTGATTTGACAGCCACAATAGATAGACGCAAACTGGGATGTGGATGTAAATTTCTGCAGTGTCATGCAGAACTAGCCCTGGAGGAGCTAACTGAAGGGCTGAAATACTACATCCTCTAAGCCTGGAAATACAGGATAAATTTGTCTAGAGGGAGTGTCACATCAACGCAGATTTATCACCAACTACTTATTTAAAGCCAGCTTGGGTATTTCTGCATAGCGTTGCGTTCTGAATACCTCAGACTCACATGGTAACATGCATTCTTTCTCTTGCCAATGCCGTGCAGAAAGACTGCATGAATTCTACCCTTTTATACCTAAAAAAACACGTGCAGGCTGCTTCTGAATCCAAAACAAAAAAAGTGTTTGGGGAAAAAATATTAAAAAAAAAAAAACATAGAAAAATACAATGCTGGAACCTCTCACCAGATTAATCAACTTCCTCCTAACCTAGAAAAGATCTCTTCTACACAGCTGAAATTAAGTTCAAGTGAGGATAATATTAGGTGTGAGAAGGGAACGAGCTCAGATGCCCAGTAACTTGACTAGGGGAAACTGGATCTGAAAATTAGGTGGAGATAACTTTTGATACATAACACATTATTTTATTGTCAGCTCACTGAACAGAGTGAAATGAAGGGGAAAAGAGTTTTAGCCGAAGAAAAAGGCATAAGGAAAATCTGGAGTGGATACTCAATAGGCATTGCTTTATCTGTGCTTTTCAGTGTGCTAATGGTATGTAGCAGTGAATGGTGAGATCTCTCACTGGTGAGGGCTGTGGAAATTACTGAATCACTTTCAGCAATGATCCTTGATGCACCATCAAGGTGCAGAGATAAAAGAAAGCTGGCAATGGGAATCCCTCCTCGGTGAGTGCTCAAGGCCAGGCTGGATGGGGCTTTGGGCAACCTGATCTAGTGGGAGGTGTCCCTGCCCATGGTGGGGGGTTTGGAACTGGATGATCTTAAAGGTCCCTTCCATGCCAAACCATTCTATGATTTCCACTTCAGTAGCACAATGAAAGACATTAACAATGTG